CAGAAACAACTCCAAAACTTTCCCCAAGGCCCTCATCAACAAGATCTCATCACCTGGCCTTCAGGGTCTTTAATAACCCAGAAGAGGCCTTTAAGTGGCAGCATCTCTTAGAGCTGCTGAAGGTTACGTAGATAACCTTCTCTTATACAGCCCCGTCCCTACTGCCTCCCGGCAAGACCCCAATCACTTACTCTCCTTCTTCACCACCAAAGGGTATAGAGTGTCCTCTTCCAAAGCCCAGTTAACCGCTCCCTCTGTCCAAGATCTCAGCATTCTCTTACAGGAATGAGAAAAACTCATCCCTGTAGTCCCAGCTACTCAGGAGGCTGAGGCAGGAGAATCGCCTAAGCCCAGAAGCTGGAGGTTGCTGTGAGCTGTATATATATATATAAACTTCTAGTTTGGGTCAATACCTTCTCAGGGTCAGTCAAAGCCTCTCCCACAACAGGCACGAAAACCCGAGAAGGTGTCTCCACCCTCCTCCACCGCATTGTTCCCAGATTTGGCCTCCCCAACTCCATTCAGAGTGACAACAGCCCAGCTTTTTTTTTTTTTAGAGACAGAGTCTCATTTTATCATCCTCGGTAGAGTGCCGTGGCGTCACAGCTCATAGCAACCTCCAGCTCTTGGGCTTAGGCGATTCTCTTGCCTCAGCCTCCTGAGTAGCTGGGACTACAGACACCCACAATGCCCGGCTATTTTTTTGTTGCAGTTTGGCTGGGGCCAGGTTTGAACCCTCCACCCTTGGTATATGGGGCCGGTGCCCTACTCACTGAGCCACAGGTGCTGCCCTAGCCCAGCTTTCATTATCCAGACCACCCCCCAAACCTCACAGCCCTAGGAGTCCAGTGGCACTTACAGGTGCCTTACAGGCCCCAGTCATCAGGGACAACATGAAATAAACAACATCCTTGAACAACATCTCACCAAATTAGTACTCCAACACAAACAAGATTGGATTAAGCTCCTCCCCATCACTTTACTCCGCATTCGCTCTACCCCTCACAAACCCCTCTTTTATAACCCTTTTGAAATAATGTATGGCAGAACGATTATTCTGGGCCCTGGACCCCCTCCAGACTCCATCATAGGACACTATTTTCCCATCCTTCGGGAAACCAGGGACAAACTAGAAAAACAATGAATCAGCTCTTACCCCAACCCTCAGCAGAGAAAGTCAGAGACCAATTGGCAGGACAAGTTTTCCTCAAATCTCCCTTGCCCGGCAGGACACTATCCCCTAACTGGACAGGCCCTCACACTGTTCTCTACAGCACCCCCATGGCCGTTCACCTCTTAGACCCCCAAGTCTGGATCCACCAATCCCAAATAAAGCTGTGTCCTACAGAAAAACTTCCAGCACTGGAAGACCGCCCCCCACTGGAAATCGCAAGTACTATCCCCTACAAACTTAAAACTCACCAGGATCCCAAAAGAATACACTTCTTCATAAATGTATAACATTCCATTATAACCCCTCCATCTTACAAAGGATTAGACTCCACCACGGGTCCTCAAACTTTTTAAACAGGGGGCCAATTCACTGTCCCTCAGACCATTGGAGGGCTGGACTGCGGGCCCCGGGACGAGTCAGCTGCTAAGCAGGACAGGCAGTGGGCCTGATAAATGTCCTTGGTGGGCCGCATGTGGCCCGTGAGCCGTAGTTTGAGGACGCCTGGACTCCACTGTCCTGCAAGACCCTACAGCAACACTTCCTATTCCCCAGCTTTTAAACACCTCCTTCTCAGTTGCCCTGAACTCTTTCTCTCTCCTCTCCCCCTCAGGGTGATGGATGTGCCTTTCTCTATACCAAAATCTTTTCAATCCCATACCCGTACCCAACACATATAACTCTTCTATTCTAGTGGAAAATAACCAGGCTCTGGCTCTGTGTCCATAGCTCAGCGGTTAGGATCCAGCCACATACACTGAGGCAGGTGGGCCTGCTAAACAACAATGACAACTGCAACAAAAAAATAGCCAGGCATTGTGGTGGGCACTCGTAGTACTTGGGAGGCTGAGACAAGAGAATCACTTAAGCCCAAGAGTTAGAGGTTGCTGTAAGCTATGATGCTACTGCACTCTACAGAGGGCACATAGTGAGATTCTGTCTCAAAAAAAAAAAAAAGAAAGAAAAGAACACAGCTCTGTTCAGCCCCATAACCATGGGCTTCCCACCTCTACCCTACCCTAATTTAACCCGCTTCAATCTCACCTGTACAGGAGACTCTGTAGACTTTTATAAAACCTGATCTCTGTTCCCTCAACTCAACTTTTCCCTTATCTGACTCTTTCAGTGCCCGTCCAGGAATATTTTTCCTCTGCAGCCACTCCATCTTTTCGTGCCTGTATGCTAACCACTCTGGTCTTTGCACTCGAGTTTTCCTTACCCCCCTAAGTCTTTTTTGTGAATGACTCCTCCCTAACTCCCTAACTCAGGCCTTGACATCCCCTTACTTCCAGAAAAAAGCCACCTTCCTCCCTGTACTCCTGGGACAGGCCTAGTGGCTGGACTTGGCCTGGGCATTGCAGGCATTAATACATCAACTCACTTTTGCCACCAACTCTCCCTAGAACTTAATGAAGACATGGAAAAAGTAGCAGACTCTTCAGTCACCCTACAATCCCAAATTAATTCTTTACCTGCAGTAGTCCTTCAAAATCACTGATCCTTAGATTTAATCACAATAGAAAAAGGAGGCACATGAGTTGTTTTTTGTTTTGGGGGGGGGGTTTGAGACAGAATCTTACTATGTTGCCCTCGGTAGAGTGCTGTGGCGTCACAGTTCACAGTAACCTCAAACTCTTGGGCTTAAGAGATTCTCTTGCTGCAGCCTCCCAAGTAGCTAGGACCACAGGCACCTACCACAAAGTGCGGCTACTTTTTTTTTTTTTTGCAGTTTTTGACAGGGGCCAGGTTTGAACCTGTCACCTCCAATATATGGGGCCAGTGCCCTACTCCTTTGAGCCATAGGCACCGCCTAAGCCTGGCTATTTTTTTGTTGTAATTGTCGTTGTTGTTTGGCAGGCCCAGGCTGGGTTCAAACCTACCACCTTTGGTTTATGTGGCTGATGCTCTAACTGCTGAGCTATAGGCGCCGAGCCGGCACATGAGTTTTTGTGGAAGAGGAATGTTATTTCTTTGTGAACCCGTCAGGAATAATTATGAACAAAGTAAATGAACTCCAAGAATGAATCAAACAGAGACAAACAGATCTTGAATCATCTAATCCCTGGTCCTTATTTGACTCCTGGCCTCCTTGGTTATTTCCTATTTTAGGGCCACTAATTATGATCTTTGTCATTCTCAGTTTTGAAGCAGTAGTCCTCTGCCTCATCTTCCAATTTATTGACTAGGTAGTCACCCCAAAAACCAACCACTCATATCCTTGCCCTACGTGGATATCAGCCAGCCCAGACCGAAGACCCAAGAGTGTTCCTGTAAACACCACTCCCTTCCCCCTCCCTTTTTTCCCCTTATTGGCAGCCCACACCAACTCTCAACTGCAGGAAGCAGTCAAAGAGAAACCATACCCATCACTCTGCTTCCTTATCTTTTTTGTTGTTGTTGTTGAGACAGTCTCACTTTGTTGCCCTCAGTAGAGTGCAATGGTGTCATAGCTCACAACAACCTCAAACTCTTGGGCTCAAGTGATTCTCTTGCCTCAGCCTCCCTAGTAGCTGGGACTATAGGCACCCGCCACAATGCCTAGCTATTTTTTTTTTTATTAGGAAGCCCAGGCCCAGGTCAAACCCACCAGTCCCAGTGGCTGGTGCCCTAACCACTGAGCTACAGCACTGCACTCTGCTTCCTTATAATAGACTAAAAAGATCGGGATGGGGCAGCACCTGTGGCTCAGTGAGTAGGGCACGGGTCCCATATACCGAGAGTGGCAGGTTCAAACCCAGCCCTGGCCAAATTGCAAAAAAATTAGCCAAGGCAGGTGCCTGTAGTCTCAGCTACTTAGGAGGCTGAGGCAAGAGAATCACTTAAGTCCAAGAGTTGGAGTTTGCTATGAGCTGTGACACCACAGCACTCTACCAAGGGCAACAAAGTGAGACTCTCTAAAAAAAAAAAAAAAAGATTGGGATGATAGGGCCTAATGTAGGGACTCACCCAAATAGAAACATCCCACCCAAGAAGGAATGAATGCATCAATCCCTACCCCTCCAAACTCTTATATTCTGCTCCACTTTAACTTATATGCTGACCTCTTTTTCATATTCAGTCTGCTCGCCACCAAGTGAAATAAAGGCCATGCTGCCCACACAGAACCTGGACTCCGATTCTTTTCATTCATGTCTTGGAATAATCTTTCATTTTCAGTCCTTAACCTCCCACAGAATATACTTTTACCTTAGTTCCTTTTCTTCATTAGAAAAATATATCGTTTTTTTTTTTAATTTGAAGGGGTTTATTCTAAGTCAAGTTTGAGGACCGTGACCTGGAGCCAATCCCAAGAAACCTTGAGCAAGTGGACTCGTGGTGGTGGGTTACAAGAAAAATATATCTTTGAATTCCCAATTCTTAAAGTCCATGGGCATAGCTGAATTACGTTTGCTGAAAATGAATTGTCACTGCTGGGCCTATTTGTTTGTAAGCTCAAAAGTATGATTGGAAGTGACTTTCTCTCTTGTCATGTCACTCAATTCTGACATATAATTTCACAAAAATCCCCAGCAGCAAGATTAAAATAACTCCCAGGAGGAAAAGCCCTCGCCGCATCACCAGCTGTTTTCCAGATAACCTAGTGCCGTCCTTTGGATGGACTGGCAAAGGTTCTTCTTGGTGCATCTGCTGATTCCACTGAGTCTGGCCTTTTTTCCCAATATCTTCCATTAAAATTCCTTCATGGTTTTCAGGGCCCCCTGAGAGAAAAAAGGAATTCAGTTAGCAGATTAAAGGAATTTTTTCCCTTTGGTATAAAAGGTGATGCAGATGTGTTAATAGTTGGGAGAAAGTTAATTCAGGAAGCAGTTGCTACAGTGAATAAATAAAAGAAATCCTATCTCAGAGGGCCTCTCCATTCACTCCCTCGAGTACACTAGGCGATCCTACTATTGTTGGCTTGGGTGCTCCAAGGGGTTTTCCCAAGAGATAGAGAAATATGGTAGCTCTCTCGGTTAAGATTCACAGGGGAGGGCTGGGTGCAGTGGCTCACACCTATAATTCCAGCACTCTTAGAGGCTAAGGCAGGTGGATTGCTTGAGCTCAGGAGTTCAAGACCAGCCTGAGCAAGAGTGAGACCTCGTGTCTACTAAAAATAGAAAAAACTAGCCAGGTGTTGTGTGGCTATAGGCGATCCCAGCAGATCGCCTATAGACAACTCATTTTCAGCAAATGTAATAGCCCAACCTCAAACTCCTGGGCTTAAGCAATTCTCTTGCCTCAGCCTCCCGAGTAGCTGGGATTATAGGCGCCCGCCATAATGCCCAGCTATTTTTGGTTGTAGTTGTCATTATTGTTTAGCAGGCCTGGGCTGGGCTCAAACCCACTAACTTTGGTGTATGTGGCTGGTGCCCTACTCACTGCACTATGGGTGCCAAGCCCTCAAATTAATTTCTACAAATAATTTTCAAATATAAAGTCTGGAACACACCCAAGACAATCAGACAGGAGCTGTCCTGTTGTCTCACAGGAGCTGAGACAACATCAAGCAACCTAGCAGAAGCCATAGCACTGATCACTGACTACAATGTAGCCATTCCATGACATCAAAGAGTTTAAATCATGAAGGACCCAGACATTACTGTGAGTGCACAACCAACTGTTTAAGGGGCCCAGAACACCAAGCAATTACTCAACTGACAGAAAACAAAAACATGAACATATTTGCATGATGACCATCGGAATTAACAGCCCAAGCAAGAAACTGGTTTTATGTATGTGTGTGTTTTGACACACTCCATCGGCTTGGGTAGAGTGTGGCTACATCATTTTAACTCACAGTGATCCTCATGTCTCAGCCTTCCAAGTAGCTGGGACTACAGGCACCCACTGAGACTAGTTTTTCAATTTTTTTTTTGCAGTTTTTGGTCGGGGCTGGGTTTGAACCCGCCACCTCCGACATATGGGGCAGACACCCTACTCCTTTGAGCCACAGGCGCTGCCCCATAGTTTTTCAATTTTTAGTAGAGACGGGGTCTTGCTCTTGCTTAGGCTGGTCTTGAACTCCTGAGCTCAAGTGATCCTCTAGCCTTGGCCTCCCGGAGTGCTGGGATTACAAGTGTGAGCAATTGTGTCAGGCCCAAGAATCCGTTTAAAGTGTACAGGTATCTGCTTGATGGACAGCAAGGACCTCATGGAAACAAACACACAAATGATCAGTTTCCAAGACCCCACAACCCTGGGGAGCACGAGAGATACCCAAGTGTCCGAAATGCCTGTGGAATGCTTGTAGAAGTGCCACTAAGTTAGCAGAGGAATTGGGGACCTTGTGGTCAGCCACAGCAGTGTGCTATGTGTGGAATTAAAGCAAACAAGTTTGGCTTGGCACCTGTGGCTCCAGGAGTAGGGCGCCAGCCCCATATACTGGAGGTAGTGGGTTCAAACCTGACAAAGAAAAAAAAAAACTGCAAAGCAAACAAGCTTGAAATGACCCAGAAAATGGCTCGGTGCCAGCCATATACACCTAAGGTGGCAGGTTCGAATCCAGCCTGGGCCGCCAAACAACAATGATGGCTGCAACCAAAAAGTAGCCAGGCATTGTGGCGGGCGCCTGTGGTCCCAGCTACTTGGGAGGTGGAGGCAGGAGACTCGCTTGAGCCCAGGAGTTGGAGGTTGCTGTGAGCTGTAACGCCACGGCACTCTACCCAGGGGGACAGCTTGAGGCTCTGTCTCAAAAAAAAAAAAAAGAAATGACCCAGAATTGAGTTCTTTCACTGCACCATTTGTCTCAGAACCATACTGCCCTATTTATTTATTTATTTATTTATTTTTAGAGACAGAGTCTCACTTTATCGCCCTTGGTAGAGTGCTGTGGCATCAAGCTCACAGCAACCTCCTCCTAGGCTTAGGCGATTCTCTTGCCTCAGCCCCCCCAGTAGCTGGGACTACAGGTGCCCACAACAACACCCAGCTACATACTGCCCTACTTATTTATTTATTTATTTTTAATACTGGTCTATTTTTTTTCTTATTAAATCATAGCTGTGCACATCAATGCAATCATGGGGTGCAATGTGCTGGCTTTATACACAATCTGAAATGCTTTCATCAAACTGGTTAACACGGCCTTCATGGCATACTGACCTATTTAAATGGAAGTTCATGGCAGCAAGTCTGGCTGTGTCCCAGAAGCAGCCCCCCGCCTCCCACTTGGACAAGCCTGGCCGTAAGCAAGGATGCCTGTCGTACCTGGACACAGTGCATCTGGAGAGAGGGCAGAGTTCCTGTTCTCAGCCACATTTACTTTCAAGTTGGCATGTACTTGAGCCTGGAAAATGAAACCAAAGTCAGTCCACACGCTTTACAATAGTGTTAACTAGCTACTTCACAAAGGCTGCCCACGCTAGGAAAAGCCCACATGGGCATGTGTACCTGAACTTCTTTAGTTCACAGGTAAGAAACCATCTTTCATAAAGACTGGAATGGGGTCCATGGGGGCGGGGCAGGTGTTGAATGGGAACAAGACATGATGAGGAAGACGGGCACCAAGACCATCTAGAATTTTCTCTTCTTTCTACTTCATCTCTTTTTTCTACCACCTATATCTAGACCCCATATTGACCCTGGAAAGCTGAAGAGAGGAATGCCCACAATCATCTTAATGAAATATTTCGGTATCATAAAAAGCAATATTAGGACGAATTTGATGCAGCCCATCTTTCTTTCCAGTTCCAATTCTTACCCTGACACTGTCTTTTCCTGCATGAGGGTGACAGCCCAGTGGCCTACTAGGCAGAAAGGAGTCCCTGTTTTTCTAATGAATAAACAAAAGGGCAACAGATAAAGCCAAGGCCATCCAGCCCTTCACATCCGAATTCAGTCCACTTACAACTACAACCAGGAAAACAGCCCTTGTGATGAAAGAAGGGAGAAAAGGAGCAAAGAACCTCACAAAAGGAAAGAGAGAGCCAAGGACCCTGTTGGTTTTCTACAGCCATGAGCACAGTTACCTGTTGACCGGCTTTTTCCCAGTTTAGCCGAACAATAAAGGCTAGAAAACACACAGCTTGAGAGACCACACAGATGATCATCCCCGCCCACAAACCTGTAAATGGAAACATTTAATAGAGGTTAAATCAGTGGAAAATCAGCCGCCCATGGGGAGCGTGTTTCTCCTGTCTCACTTCTGTCAGCCATGAAAATCTGTTTTCATGGCAGAGTGGGACCCCACAGTGTGCCAGAGACTGCTGCTCAGCTCTTTCTTTGCCCTTCCAGAAGGTTCTGGAGGCCACCCCCTGAGGGGCCGCCTCTTGGTTCAGAATGTCAGAACAAAGATTCAGATGCTATTTTGGCCTCAGTGATTATAATGCCTTGCTAGTGACAGTCATAAAGAAATAAAATTTTGGCTCGGTGCCTGTGGCTCAAGTGGCTAAGGCACCAGCCACATACACCTAAGGTGGTGGGTTCCAATCCAGCCCGGGCCTGCCAAATAACAATGACAGCTGCAACCAAAAAATAGTCCGGCATTGTGGTGGGCGCCTGTGGTCCCAGCTACTTGGTAGGCGGAGGCAGGAGACTCCCTTGAGCCCAGGAGTTGGAGGTTGCTGTGAGCTGGGATGCCATGGCACTCTACCTAGGGGGACAGCTTGAGGCTCTGTTTAAAAAAAGAAAGAAATAAAATTTCCCAGAATAAACTATTTTTGCCTTATTTTCCTCAAAGAAGGAGACTAACATTAAAAAAAAAGAAAAGAAACTAAATTAAAGGCAGAATCATTATCCCTTTAAAGTCGTGATGCTCCCTCTCCTGGAGCATTCTGCCAGCCTTTGGTCCTTGCTTGTTTCTGGTACAGACTGTGCTGAAAGCTCCCAGACCAGGGTCATGAACCAGAGCTAATCAGAGAACAACAAAGGAGTGTGAGTGGGAACGGATCTCTGAGTACCGTGTACACAGCACCTGACAAATCCACACAGGGACAGAGGGAGACCCCAAATGATGGGGCCTTTTTGTCAACAGTGAACTAATGACAGAATCAAGAGCTCCACCAATAGCTGAGAGAGACTGAACTACAGATGGACAACCCCAGGCATATATAAAAATAGACCTCTGGCCAGGCACGGTGGCTCATGCCTAAAATCCTAGCACTCTGGAAGGCCAAGACAGGAGGATACCCTGAGCTCAGGAGTTCCAGACCAGCCTGAGCAAGACCCATCTCTAGTAGAAAACAGAAAAACCAGCCAGACATTCTGGCAGGCACCTGTAGTTCTAGCTACTCGGGAGGCTGAGGAAAGAGGATTGCTTGATCCCAGGAGTTTGAGCTTTCTGTGAGCTATGACGCCATAGCATTCTAGCCTGGGCAACAGAGAGGCTCTGTCTCAAAAAAAAAAAAAAAACCCACAAAACACAATAGATCTCTGATCCACAACCTGCAGTACCCTGCCCAGGAAGCCAACCCCCTTACCTGGTAAAAACAGCCCAGGAAGCCAGCCCAGGTTTAAGCCTGCTATAAACCAGACTCACAGGAAGTGTCTACTGATAATCCAATAAGCTAAACGTAACTTCTATAACAATTGGCCTCAAATGGCCAGAATTTAATTAACAACCAACGACTTCCCTGATTTTGATCCCCACTTCCAAATTAGGATCAACCAGAAAAAGTAAAATACATATTCCTAATCACTCCTGCAGGAGGCCCCATTTCTAGTCAGCCACCTCCAGTGTCCCCAGGCCAACAGCTTCCATTCATGGCACACCTGAAGGCTTCCCTTTTTTCCACCACAAAGCTTTCCCACGCCTCTGCCTGCCTTTGAATCTCTGCCCAAACGCAAGTGATGGTGGTCAACGACTTTGCCAGAGCAGGCTCAGAAGCCACAGCCTTTGCCTGTCTCATCTGCTTGCTCTTCTTTATTTCCACAGCCGTCCAGGTCTGTGTAAGGGTGAAGGTAACCAGACTGGGTTCCTGGCTCTCAGGTTCAAATGACCAGACTCAGTGCAGTTTACAGCTCTGTTCCTTGGTACCAACCACCCTCATATCATGCTTTTCAGATAGGATCAGCTCACTCTTTTTTTTTTTTTTTGCAGTTTTTGACCGAGGCTGGGTTTGAACCTGCCACCTCTGGCATATGGGGCCAGTGCCCTACTCCTATGAGTCACAGGTGCCAGCCCACTCTTTAGAACAGTAAAATTAGGGCTATTCCTATACAGAATGAGTAAAAGCAGACCACTGGCTTCCTTATCTGAAGGCAGTGACCCTGGTTTATACATCAGAAGCTCGATCAAACCATCTTCAACAGAAAATAACCAGCTACCTCTAACTATAAATTTGAAGGTCATTAGTTAGATTTCCATTAATTTCCCCATACAGCACATAAAATATTTCTGTTTCATTCAACTTAGAAACCCAACAGAATGATTATTAGAATCCCCTGGGCCAGGCCAGAGGAATTTATGTATTTAAAAAGCCTCCCAGGGAATTCCAATGGCCACTATGATTTGCTGAGGTTTCTCCTGAGAACTTGCAGAATTCTGCTGTTGTCCTGGACACGTGTAGGGAGAAAAGATATAGTATTGAAAACCGACACATACCACACTTTGTTCTATGAGGTGAGTGGAGGGATTGACTACAGTCTTCTCACAGTCCTTACCCCCCACCTCCTCAGGGCCCCAACATTTCTCTTAAGTGAGTCTCAACTTCCTCTGCTTTGCACATGGTGTGTATACCTTGTGCTTTGTGAATGAATGAGTGAGTCACTGGGATACAGATGAAGATATATATGTGTGTGTCTCATATGAAGATATGTGTGTGTGTCCTCTATATAGGCACACATATATAGCTTCATCTATAAAAAGGACATATATATATACACAAACATATACACACACACGTATTTATTTATTTATTATTATTTTGAGACAGAGTCTCACTATGTCACCCTCAGTAGAGTGCTATGGTGTCGCAGATCATTGTGGTTTAGCTGGCCTGGACTGGGTTTGAACCCGCTGGCCTGGGTGTATGTGACTGGCGCCCTACCCACTGAGCTACAGGCACCACCCTATTATTACTTGTTTTAGACAGGGTCTGGCTCTTGCTTCAGGTAGAATACAGTGGTGTCATCATAGCTCACAGTAATCTCATACTTCTGGGCTCACACAATCCTCCTGTCTCAGCCTCCCAAGTAGCTGGGGCTACAAGCATGCACCACCATGCCCTGCTAATTTTTCTTATTTTTTTTTTTTCGTATAGAGATGGAGGTCTCACTATTGCCCAGACTGGTCTTGAACTACTGGTCTTAAGTGATCCTCCTGCCTCCATCTCCCCAAATGCTAGGATTATAGGCATAAACCACTATACCTGGCCCGGATTTATATTTTAAAGTAGATTTCTTGGCTGGGCCTAGTGGCTCACACCTGAGCTCAGTTCAAGACCAGCCTGAGGAAGAGCAAGACCCTGTCTCTACTAAAAATAGAAAATTTAGCTGGGCACTGTAGTGGGTGCCTGTAGTCTGTTAACCATCCTTCCACTCTCTATTCTGTGAGTTCAACTCTTTTAGAAGAGGAAAAAAGGGGGAAATGAGAATTTGTTAGGGTATAAGTTTTCAGATAAAAGGAAGGGTAAGTCTGGAGACCTATTGCATAGTAGAGTGACTACTGTCAAGGTGTTATATATTGAGGTCTGGTGTGGTGGCTCCCCTGTAACCCTAGCACTCTGGAGGCTGAGGTAGGAGGACTGCTTGAGCTCAGGAGTTTGAGAACACCCTGAACAAGAGCGAGACCTTGTCTCTACAAAAAAATAGAAAAATTGGCTGGGTGTTGTGGTAGGTACCTTTAGTCCCACCTATTCAGGAGGCTGAAGCAGAAGGATCACTTAAGCCCAGGAATTTGAGGTTGCGGTGAGCTATGACCCCATGGCACTCTACCGAGGGTGACAGAGTAACACTCTGCCTTAAAATATAATAGCATCTATTTCAAATTAACTAAGTAAATGTCAAATGCCCCACCATAGAAAATAAGTAAGCATGGTAATAGATATATTGACTTGATCTAATCATTCCATGTTGCATACATATGTCAAAACACTACATTGTACCTCACAAATGTATACAATTATGATTTGTCAATGTAAAGCAATGAAATAATATGAAGGGCAGCACCTGTCACCTCATATACCAAGGGTGGCAGGTTCAAACCCAGCCTCGGCCAAACTGCAACAACAACAACAAAATAGTCAGGCACTGTGGTGGGCACCTGTAGTCCCAGCTACTTGGAAGGCTGAGGCAAAAGAATAGTTGGAGGTTGCTGTGAGCTGTGATGCCACAGCACTCTACCAAGGGCAATAAAAGTGAGACTCTATCTCCTAATAAAAAACCAAATAAACAAAAAAATATGAAAAAAGGGCATATTACATAAAAAGTGAGCAATAAAAGGGCAATAAAAGTGAGACTCTATCTCCTAATAAAAAACCAAATAAACAAAAAAATATGAAAAAAGGGCATAATACATAAAAAGTATTTCCTTTTTATACTGATTGCATGCATGTTGCAATGATAACATTTATTTTCTTTTTCTTTCTTTTCATCTTTTTTTGAAAGTCTATGTTGCCCTCGGTAGAGTGCTCTGGCATCACAGCTCACAGCAAACTCTTGGGCTTAAGTGATTCTCTCACCTCAGCCTCCCAAGTAGCTGGGACTACAGGCATCTGCCACAATGCTCAGCTATATTTTTATTGGTTGTAGCTGTCATTGTTGTCCAGCAGGCCTGAGCTGGGTTTGAACTCGTCAGTTCCGGTATATGTGGCTGGTGCCCTAGCCACTGAGCTACAGGTATAACATTTTAGATATATTATCTTGAATAAAATACTTTTTAAAAAGGTAGATTCATCTAACATTTCCATTAGAATTAACACTGGAAAATCCAAAATATGAGTAATACCAGAAACTCAGCTAAATAATTTTCTGAACCATGATGCAAGCCCAATGAACTTTGCATTGGCAATTCAATTCACTGAACAACTCCTGTATTTTTAATTAAAATATTATTGAAATTGAGAAAAACATGCAACATAATGGAACACAGTGAACTGTATGTGCCCTCGAGATATCAATTTTCTCACCACCTTGGAGCCCGCCACGCCCTAACAAACCATCCTTAAGTTGGTCACTACTTCACCCCAGAGATAAGGGCCAGGTTTTAATATAATCATTTATTAACTGCCAATATATTCCAAATTATTATTTTAGAAATTAAAGCAGGGCGGATCATTTATTTCCCTACTTTTAAGAAGTGATTAGCTCTGGTAATTTCAGATCCTGTGCATCTTTCTTCCAATTACAACAAGGTAACTGGGAAGTTACCCTTCCTTCTGTGCTGTTCACACCCTTCACACTCACACCCTGCTGGAGAGACCCACAAGACACACAGCTAGAAGGCTGTGCCAGATGGGAGGTAGAGGCCTGCGGTGGGATGGGGTGATGGGGTTGAAGCTTACCAATCACTCCCAGCTTGGTCGCAAACATCAGCGCAATCCCGATGGGGAGGCCAACCACGTAGTAGCCGATGGCGTTCACAATGGCTCCAACCTTCTGATTTCCACTTCCCCTCAGAATGCCACCGCAAGTGCACTGTGGGCAGATGACATCCCATCCGTGTCAACCTAGCTTCCGAAGACACCCATTTCCTGAGCACTCATCATTCTGGGGACGCTGGCTTACAAACCCATGGCCAGGTGCAGGTATTCTAACTAAATATAACACCCACTATCACCACCTACCCTAGCCCCTCTTAGTGAAATTGACCGTCGTTGGAAGGAATGCATAGATCATAGAAGTGCTTAGGGGAGTGGGTAATACTTACAGCAAGAGCCTCAAAGAGGTGGCAGACAGCATAAATTGGAACCACCTGAGCCACCAGATCAATGATATCCCTGTTAGGAAAACAAAGCATGTGGTGTTTAGAAGATAAACGTGGGAAAAAGAATGATACTCGTCTGGGTGTGACCTGCGCAGGCGGACACTCCAGCCCATTCAGGGACAATCCTGCTGTTGCTCGCCTGTGCAGGAATCTCACTGCACAGTCGTGTGTAACTACTTTTATAAAAAATATGCAGTAGCCCCCACATATCCTCAGGGGATATGTTGCCTGAAACTGGATAGTGCCAAAACCTGTATACACTGTGTTTTCCCTATTCGCACATTTTTTATTTGTTTTAATTGAGACAGAGTCTACCCCTGCCCAGTTGCTGCCCTGGGTAGAGTGCTGTGGTGTCACAGCTCACAGCAACCTCAAACTCTTGGGCTTAAGAGATTCTCTTGTCTCAGCCTCCAGAGTAGCTGGGACTACAGGGGTCCGCCACAATGCCCGACTTTTGTTGTTGTGCTGTTTAGTGGGCCCAGGCCGGGTTGGAACCCACCAGCCCCAGTGCATATAGCCAGTGCATTAACCACTGAGCTAAGAGCACTTAGCCTCTTTTTTAATTTTTGAGACAGTCTTGCTCTGTCACTCTGGTACTAGTACAATGCCATGGCCTCAGCCTAGCTCACAGCAGCCACAAACTCCTGGGTTCAAGCAATCCTCCTGCCTCAGTACCTGGGACTACAGACTGCACCCAGCTAGTTTTTCTATTTTTAGTAAGAGACAGAGTCTAGCTCTTGCTCAGGCTGGTCTTGAACTCCTGAGCCCAAGGGACCTCCCACCTCAGCCTCCCAGACTAGGACTGCAAGTGTGCAGGATAAACTACCTTTTTGTCCTTTTTTGGAGACAGAGTCTCAAGCTGTCGCCCTGGGTGGACTACCGTGGCGTTATAGCTCGCAGCAACCTCCAACTTGGGCTCAAGTGTTCCTCTTGCCTCAGTTTTTCTATTTTTCGTAGAGACGGGGTCTGGCTTTGCTGAGGCTAGTTTTGAACTCATGAGCTCAGGCAATCCACCTGACTCGGCCCCCCAGAGTGCTGGGATTACAGGCATGCGCCACCACGCCCGGCCGTGGATTAACTAGTTCTTTACCAAGAAAACCCGCAGCACTCACCGGTCAGTAGTGAAAATGTACCCCACAAGATCCTTACAGCATAACAGCAGGACACAAAATGTCACAGCAAAGAGCGCTGCAGATAAAACAGTACAGGGAACAACGGTGAACTGAGAGCCTGCCGCAGCGGCGGGGCTGACCCGGGACGCGGGGCTGCGCACCTGTGACCAGCAGCGCCACGGCCGAGGACTTGCGGGCCTGCTCGGGGTCTCCGGCGCCCAGCGCGTTTCCCACCCGGACGCTGGCGGCCACGCTGAAGCCCGAAGGGATCTAAAAGGAGAAGGAAACTGCCACTCCGGGGCCGCATCGCGGCGCGGCAGCTCCCGCCTCCGCCTGGTGGTAAAAGTCGGGGCTAAAACACAAGGATCTGCGGCACCTGCCAGGCCGCCGCGGAACCTGGCGCGGGTCCCCACGGCGCTGCTCCGCGGAGAGCCGGCTCCGCCACCAGAGGCCCTGAACCGTCACCTGGTTTTCTGGGTGTCGGGTGGGGGCCGACTGCCCGGACCCCGAGCTCGTGTCTGCTGTGAAGGACGGTGGAGGGACCCGGTTTAGAGAGGAGGGGAACTGAAGGGAGCAGCGCCGCTTTGGGCTTGGCTTCGGGACTCTGAAGCCAGACGTCTGGGTTCAAATACTGGACGCCGGCGGGACCCTGAGCAAGTCACTCACTCTCTTCCGTTGTTTTATCCCTAAAAGGAGTTTCCTGCCTGTACTACAGAACCTACCTCACGGGTCACAGAGGGGGCTTTATGAGTCTACACTAACTGCTTAGACTAGCGCCTCACGCGCAGGAATTGCCCAAGATTTGCTACTGGAGAAATCAGCATTCATAAGGAGAAAAGATGCATCACTCAATTTATTTTTATTTCTTTTTGAGACAGAGTCTCACTTTTTCACCCTCGGTAGAGTGCTGTGCTGTCACAGCTCACAGCAACCTCAAACTGTTGGGCTTAAGTGATTCTTTTGCCTCAGCCTCCCAAGTAGCTGGGGCTACAGGCACCTGCCTCAACAACGCCCGCTATTTTTCACAGATGGCGGTCTTGCTGTGGCTCAGGCTGGTCTCAAAACCATTAGCTAAAGCAATCTACCCGCCTCGGGCTCCCAGAGTGCTAGGATTACAGGTGTGAGCCACTGCGGCCTGGCCTCATTACTCAATTTAAACATGAATGTTGGGCGACCACAGTGGCTCACCTGTAATCCCAGCACTCTGGGATGCTGAGACAGGTGGATTGCCTGAGCTCAGGAGTTCCAGACAAGCCCGATCCAGAGCAAGACCGTCCTCCTCCTCTGCCCCCAGTCTCTACTAAAAATTAAAAAAACTGAGGCAAGAGGACCACTTGAGCCCAAGAGTTGGAGGTTGCTGTGAGCTACGATGCTGCCATGGCACCCAGGGTGACAGCTTGAGACTCTGTCTCCGAAAAAAAAAAAGAGAGAGAAAGTGAGTGTTGCCTTATAATCTGGGTGGCTAAGGACCAGCTTTAAGAAAATCTGATGCACAGACTGAGGGACATACCATAAAAGAAACGAAAGCCTGAGTCCCTGCTTAGAAAGCCACAGGTAGGGAAAAACAAAGAGCTCTCCCAACAGTGATTTCGTCATTCCAAAAGGAAAGATAGCACCTCGACAGGCAGAAACCCGGCAGACACCACCCTAACCACCCACGTCAGCATCTACAACAACGGGCCAGGTCAACATGATGGGCCTCCTGACGTGAGGCCCTGGGAAGGACACGGTGTCACTTCTGTGATCTTCCTGCCCGCGGTGGACAGTCTGATCTATGAGGGAAATTCTGCACATAGTGCAGTTCTTCAAAAGGGCCACGGTCAAAAAAGACTGAAGATCTATTCCAGGTTAAAGGACACTGAAGAAACAGGACCTCTTATTGCATATAGTTGTATATATATGCACACATGTATATTTAAACCAATAAGTGATAGGATAGAGTTTATTGACGGAAAGATTGATAAGCAAAAAAGGGGGAAGAGAACCTCCAGCAGCAGGGGGGAATCCAAGTGGAAAGCCTGAATGCTTACAGTTATAAAGGCCAGAACAATTGATAGAATTTGAATATGGACAGAAAGTAAGACAGAGCCCCTGGCCAAAATATAAATAGCTGGTGAATCTGAGGGAAAGGCATATAGTTCTCTTTTCATTAAGGAGAAAAGTATAAATTTATTCTTGAGACGCACTCTTGCTCAGGCTAGAATGTCTTGGCATCAGCCTAGCTCACAGAAACCTAAAACCCCAGAGTTCAAGGGATCTTCCTGCTTCAGTCTCCCCAGTAGCTGGAACTACAGACCTCTGCCACAACACCTAGATAATTCTTATATTTTTATTTATTTATTTAGAGACAGAGTCTCACTTTATCACTCTGGGTAGAGTGCTGTGGCATCACAGCTCACAGTAACCTCCAGCTCTTGGGCTTAGCTTCCCTTAGCTGGGACTACAGGCACCCGCCACAAAGCCTGGCTATTTTTTTTTGTTGTTGTTGTTGCAGTTTGTCTGGGCCCGGGTTCAATCCTGCCACCCTCGGTATATGGGGCCAGCACCCTACTCATTAAGCCACAAGGTGCCACTAATTCTTATATTTTTAGTAGGGACAGAGTCTGGCTTTTGCTTAGGCTGGTCTTTAGTGCCTGAGCTCAACTGATCCTCCTACTTTGGTCTCCCAGAGTGCTGGGATTACAGGTTTAAACCTCTATGCCTGGCCTAAATGTAAATGTGTACTTGAGTCTATTGAAAAAT